ACCCAAGCACGTTAGCTTAATAGAGCACTTCCGACAATCAAAGCATCACACAGGGGGCGGAGAGAGAGAGAGAGAGAGAGAGAGAGAGAGAGAGAGAGAGAGAGAGAGAGAGAGAGAGAGAGAGACCACAAGACAACTGAGCTCTGCCAAATTTCAAAGCGACCAACAGGTCAAAAATTAACATTAAGCTCAGACATAACCTGCTGTAAACTAGTAGCACGAAGGTACCGAGTCGACACTGCAGCATGGCCCCTGCGCAAGGATGGACGGATGACATGCATAAGTCGAGAAATGGTCTAAATTTGTACCCCCCCCCCCAAAAAAAAAAAAGGAAAAAAAAAAAGACTTAACTATGCTTGCAAGTAGTCAATGTGAACTTGAGAGAAAAGTATAGCTTAGTAAAAAAAAACAAAAAAAAAAAACAAGAAAGGAAAATACGACCTTGCCCACTTACACACGGACGGAATCTGTCTGTGAATCCTTTTATCTGTTTATCCGTTGCGGTAGAAGATAAATCCCGAGAAGATAAAAAAGCGAAAAAAAAAGAAAAAAGTGCATTCTTTTGCTTGTCCCTCGAGAGAGCGAGGTAAGGCATGGTTAGGGGGCAAAAAACAAATAAACGAGAGAGAAAAAAAAAAAGAGAGGAAGAACGGGTAAGCCACTTCCCACTTAATACAGGGAATCGGAATCTGTCTCTGTTTCCGTCTGTTGATGGCAGGCAAAAGAAAGCTCTTGATTTTTTTATTTTAATCTTTCGTTTTCTTTTTTTCAGAAAAAAACAACGGTCTGAGAACAGAACAACTCTTTTGGGGGAAAAAAAATAAAAAAAATTAAAGACATTTATGGGTAACGAGGTAACGTAAGGTGCGTCGCTCTTAGTACATAGGTCCCACTAGCAAAGTGGATCGGATTTAAGATCCTGAATCTGGATCGTTTCTAAGCGGAGATGCAGAAAAGAAGGTCAGTCACGGTTTTCTGCATCTGTCCTCAAACACGTCCAGATGCAGGCGTCAAACCTGATCCTCTGTGCTAGTGGGACCTTGTCCCACGTCTGTAATTCGTAGCATTAGTAATTTTCGAGCATCCCGTCCAATAGCCCTGATTCATTGTGACTTTTTTTAAAAGTATTTTTTTTTTTTTTTTTTTTAATCATTTGACTTCTCTTCCTCATACGGCTACCGCCACCGTCTTCCCTTGAATAGAGCGCAAGCTCATTATCGTTGTATCTAGACAGAAAATTGCCCCATATACAAGCTATAATGACTGTGCGTGTGCGTTCTCTTCGAGGCAGCACGGTAGCCCTGATTAAGGGTGTCACGTATAGGACTCCGTATCCCTCTCTCCAGAAGGATTTGCAATCTTTTTTTTCCTTTTTTTTTCCCTTTTTTTCCCCCTCATCAGACCCTGACCACCCACACCCTCGCCTCCTTCCTGAAGACCACAGATCGCCCTCCTACCCCCTAGCGCCCAGCAGCCCGGCTATGGCTGCCTGCGCTCCGCTGCCCAGCAGCGCCCCTCTCGCCTCGCTTGCCTCTCAAGCGCCGCATGCGCCCTGGCCGCAACGCAGCATGCAGACTCTAACGCAGCATGCAGACTCTAACGCAGCAGCGCAGCAGCGTGGCCGCATTGCCTACCTGGGCCAGAATGCCAGACCCTGGCTGCTGCCCTTCCTATATGGAAGTGGCAGCCCGTGTCTCGCTGCGTGTGGCCTGGCTGGGAAGCTTCCAGTAGCTTCCGGTCAGGCCCCAGTGTCTGCGCCCAGACCCTGGGCCTTTTTTCGGTTGGGCACGCCCAGACTTGGGCAGTTTGCTGTATCTGCCAAGGCCCCGGGTCACGTACGTCGACAATCATTATGCTGCTTTTTTGTAGGCCCTGGGCCACTTCGTGATGTATCTGCCTTGCAATGTGGAGTCCAAGCGCAACTGCCTGGCGCAGGTAGGCTTACGCATCCAAGTAACCAACTGGCGTGTGGCAACTGTCTGAGCAGTGAGTACCCACATATGGAAAATGTCAAGTTTTGGCCTCTTGTGAATATTCAGGCCCGCCTTCACTTAGGGCGGGGGCATCCTGAGGGCCTCTGCCCAGACGATGTGCATGTCTGATAAGGGCCCCCCGAGGGCTCGTTCCTCGCACAGGATCTGGGGTCTTTTAAAACAACACACACACACACACACACACACACACACACACACACACACACACACACACACACACACACAGACGGAAGTATGAAGATGAAGGACGGACACAAAGACTGTATAAGCTGAAGATCTGAAGTGAAATGAACAGCAGTATGAAGCTCTGAGGAGATGCACAGGAGCGTACCTTCCCTTTACTCTGCCTCCTGAAATAACGTGCAAGTGGGCCGTGAAGGCACACGGGGATGTGGGCAGCTGCCGCTCAACCACAATCAACGTGGGCAGCCTTGTACATAAGAGGCACAGTAAAAGGGGAGCTGCAAGAACAAATGGAAGGGGTACCCCAAGGACAACCAAAAAACTGTCTAATTATAAAATTGCTTTAATATGTTGGACATCTCAAATGCTCTCGTTGTCTGCAATAGGACAAAGACTGCTTTGATTCTGAATCTATTCACCTGGGTGGAATTGGGGCTGTTGTGGGGAAAATCTAACACACACACACACACACACACACACA